ACCACTCATATTGGCAAGAACTTTGGGTGGTGGCGTAGAATCCACACAAACAACATCACCATCGATGGGGAGATCGGTTAAGATGGCGATGTCCTTAAGTGTGATGGTGCACTCGCCTTCACGAAAATTGAAGCAGTGTGTCTCCTTTCGCCATCTCTCTACCATCGCTGTGATGAGTTGGCGGTCGATCTTGATCCCATTGAAATGCCGAATCGAATCCAATCTCGCCCTTTTTAGAAAGGGCAAGATGACGTCGTTCCATTCAAGCACATTCGTTGTGCCCCTATAGCGTACTATATGGTATGCATCCTAGAAAAGAATTTAAATTTCATTATAAGTTGATGATTTATACATATATAAATATATTATAAGATACAATTTATATATAAATCAAGGTTGTTTTAGAGAAATATACATGATCTAATAAACATTTATTTTAACATAACTAAAATAATTTTCTAAGATGCAATATTAATTAAATCAAGGTTGTTTTTTAGAAATATACATTATCTAATTAAATATTAATTTTAAAATAACTAAATAATATTATAAGATGCAATATTAATTAAATCAAGGTTCATTTAGAGAAATATACATTATATAATAAACATTAATATTAGCATAAATAAATAATATTAAAAGATGCAATATTAATTAAATCAAGGTTCATTTAGAGAAATATACATTATATAATAAACATTAATATTAGCATAAATAAATAATATTAAAAGATGCAATATTAATTAAAGTGTTTTGGAGAAATATACATTATCTAATAAATATTAATATTATCATAACTAAATTAATATTCGAAATTTAAGTATAAATATTTATTGTACACATACACATAAAATCAAATATATTATTTTGTTAATCGTATTAATTATTTTCAATAATTTAAAGCAATACAAGTACACTCGTAAGACTCTTAGGAGAGGTATACATCTCCTTAGAAACACAGTCTTTTTGACAGAAAAAGGGGGATCCGAGGATCGCTTAGAACCCGATTTTCCCAGGTCATGGGGGGATCATGATGATTGCTTAAGTCCCCATTTTCTTAGACATGCATTTCTTTATAAAGAGTCTCAATAAGTGTTCTATTGTATTGATTTAAATTATTGAAAATAATCAATACGATTAACAATTAAGTAAATTATTGTACAACAAATAAATTACTTTAACAAAATACAAATTACAAGTGATGATAAATAATATGTACCTTGTGGTCGTTCCAAACGTCCCTTGAACGATGATTTGCTTGATCGTATAAAACTGACGAATCAATCGGTCCTTGATCAACATAATATCGTTGATTGAAAATATCAACATCCGGCCCAACCTACGATAGCATAACAATAACATAAATCATTAGTATATAAATTAAATAAATCATTATAACAACAACAACAATTGGGAAAAATGAGTACGTACCGTTTGATAATCATCATAAAAAAGACCCTCTTCTTGAGCGAAATCGGCCATTCTCTCGGAATCCGGACAGAGGTTCGACGGTTTTTTAGTGAAAACCAAAGAAAAAGTTTTTTGGAGGCAGATCGGACTTAGCCGCAACCAACAAAAAAACTAATTCTAAGGTTGGGAGGGGAGGGGTTGGGTAGAGAGAAGTTAGAGGGAGAGAGGGGAGTGTGGTGGATGGTGTGCAGAAAAGAGAAGAGGGAGGGGGGTTTATATAGCCTTCAAACCGCGTGGGGGAGGGTCGGTGGAGTAATTTCCGCCACCAAAAACCGCGCCTCCAGCACGCGGTTTGCTTTTCCCGATGGTCAAACCGCGCCTCGGGGAAGCGGTTTCTGTGGGCGACACGGACTGCTGACTTGGCACGCGTTTTAGCCGTCAGAACGCTCCTCCGATTGGCGGTTTGATGCACCGCCACGTGGCAACACGGTTTGACAGCCATGCAAGGTCAAACCGCGCCTTGGGGGCGCGTTTTTCTCTATAATCGCCGCCTGGAGAAGCGGTTTTATTAGAAACCGCTCATTAAATGCGCGGTTTTATATAAATGATGGTATTTTTGGAAATTATTTGGTCTGGGTGGTATTTTTTTTTTAAACGGTGGTAGTTTTGGATTTTTTCCCTCTTTCTTTCTCTCTCTCTCTCTCTCTCTCTCTCAAAACAGAAAACCAAAAAAACGAAAACAAAAACTCTTCTTTCTCCCTCTCTCGATCTGTTTTCTTTTCTGGAAATCCAACCGAAGAAGAATCTAAAAGGAATCAAAATCCTAATCCTCTTCCCTCTTCTTCTTCTTCTTGTCTTCTATCGCCGAACCAAGAAACGAGGAGGACTGCCCCAGATTGACCAGAAAATGGCGATCTAGAAAAGTTTCTGGCTTGCATGTGGGTTTCCTTTCGGGCTCTAGTTTAAGAATGAGACTTGACATTTTTCTGGGTTTTGGTTTTTTGACAAGGTGGGAAGAAAAAAAAGGGGTCGCCAACTGTCGTGGGTCTCACCATTAGCGAAGGAAGAACGACTGCCAGACGCGACGAAAGGAGATCTGGGTAAGTCTACTTTTGATATTTGAATTTGATTTCTGGTTTCTTTGTTATTTTTATTTTGGGATTTGGCTTTCTGTTGGGAGGAGACGGAGAGTCAACAGCGACGAGGGAGGATTGATTTCGTCGGCGATGACAAAATCGAAGTATAAGAAAAGGTAGGCTTTGCGGATTTTTTTTACTTTGATGCTACTCTCTTCGATTGTGCAAGTACTGACTCTTCTTTCCTTATTTTTGCAGGTTTTGGAAACGGGCAGAGAGCTAGGTGAGGTTTTCCTAAACTCTGCTCGAAGTGGTTTGGGAGAAACACTAAAAAAACGGATTATGATGTAGGTTTGAAAACGATTTACAGATCTGAGTTTTAGGAATGAATGTGTGTTTGTCGTAATCTGGATTTGGGAGGTTTATTTGGTGGGTTCTAATAAAAATCGATGGTTTTGAAACTGAGAATCAATTGTAAATTTGGCCTTTCGGTTACATACTAGTGTCTTTCGGTTAATATAGCTTTGTTGAAATGGATGTGCTTTTTGGGTATTTAGGAAAAATGACGAATCTATTTTTGGTGATCTCATCTATATTCTAGTTCTAGAAAATAAAGGGATCGAAATATGACATAAATAAAGCAATTGTAAAATGACGAAAAGTAAATAGCACAATTGGTAGCAACAATAATACGTATTTAGAAGTCTAACTGACAAAGTAGAAAGTCAGCTATTGTAGGTTAATATAAATAATAAAGTTAGTAAGCTTGAAATAAGTAAATAATGGCACTGGAAATAAGAAAGTCGAATGAACATGTTGACAGTTATGGGTATGATTAGTTTAAATCACTCTTTTAAATCAATTTGGTCATGGTGAACTTTGATTGGAGTTGATTGATTTTTAAAAATATTGTGAAGAAAGGGGTTAATTGCATGGTTGGTCACTGAGATTACAAAAAACGTTCATGTTTGGTTACTGGAAATATTTAAATCTAATCTTGGTCACTCAAATTAGTTAAATGCAATGTAGTCAAAATCGAGCTTCAAAACTTAAAAACTTACGGTTTTACGCTTCTAGGTCACCAAAACGCTTTTGTTTTCATATAAAAACTTCACTGTATAAAATCAGACTAAATTGCGCTTTAAAGCTTACATTTTTACGTTTTTAGTTCACAAAAATGCTTTACGATTTTGGTTCACTAAATGGGTATTCTTTTCTTGAAATTAATTATAAAAGTATATTTTAAAGGTAAATCACTACTAATATGATACATTTGAGATTAAAAGATGCATACCAAGTACTTGGATACATTCTTAACTTCATTAGAATAATCTAATTTACTAGCTAGGCTCTTTCCAAATTAATTAGCATAGAGGGGAAGGTGACTTATTGTTGAGCAGGGGCGAAGGGAGCTTCTTAGGAGGGGTGCCTTGTCACACCCTTGCCTTGTAAGAATAAAGTTTAGAGTATATTAAATTGTTTATAATGAAACTTTGTACATGGAACCACATTCTTATCGTCACAATATCACAAGGTGAACTTACTGTGGTAGCATTTAACTATGTTTCTCTTTTCAATTCCAATCAAAACTTTTCCTCTCAGACATGGTCGCTAAGGCGCTCGACTCTACCTTTCCATTCAACATACTTTCATTGGCTATCCATGAGCACTAGAGAGTCTTTACCGTAACTCGCCATGTATTAGAATGATTAACAAAATTATGAAGCACTAATCGATAGGATATATTGACAATAAGGTCTTTGATAGTTTAGATGAAAATTATATAATTTACAAGTTTTATTAGAGTAGGAAAAATGTTGTGAGTCATAGAAAAAATTTATAGTTTCTCATAGTAAATATATTTATATAAGAAAATTGGCACCCCCTTGTAGAAAATCCTAGCTACGCCACTGTTGTTGAGACTTATGTTTATGAACTTATTATTAAGAGGTTATAAGTTTCTCTACTTTAGCCATGAATTACAGGTATTTATTAACTTATTTAAATTTTGTGCACTCATATTTTACATAATATATGTCTTAACATATTTTAGTTATTTTACAGTATGCGTAAAAAACTTACGCTTTTATGCTTTAATTCTACATTTTACGATTTTACCCTTTCCCGCTTCTAGGTAAAATCGCGCTTTTAACTGCATTGGTTAAATGGTTCAAGTATGGTCACTCTTCGTCCAACTCTGTTAAATTTGTCTGATGTGGCAGTCAACCCTCAAAGTTGACCGTTAACTCAGTGACGTGGCAATTAAAAAATAATAAATAAAATAAATTTTAATCTTCTACCATTTCCAACTCATTTTTACAATAAAGTAAAATACATAAAATAAAAAATAATTACAATTACAAATTGAAAAAGAGAATATAGATTGGAGAAATAATGAAATATAAATTATTGGATTTCAAAATTGAAGTTACGGTTTGGAATTGGAATCCGAGGAGAAGAATAGATCCCGATCAGATAAAGATGGAAAACCAATTTTTTTGCCTAGTTTGGGATATGCATAGTACGACGCTTAACCGGAGACGAAGCTTTTGCAAGCGGCCTCTGTCGAGGCGTGGGCAGGCGAAGCCGGTCCGGGTTACGAAATCTTGCTGTGAACGACGACATCCGAGTCCTCGTCCCCGTCCCTGTTCTCGTCCCGCTCAGTCGACAATTTGCAGTTGTATTATTGATACGAAGGAGAATAATTGGTGGGACGCTGCGGTGCTCTTCCGTCATAAGGGCTCCGTCTTGCTACGCTTGGTGAATGCAGAGGATGCGGAGAAAGTAGTTTGTACCGAGCAATTGGGCCCCACAGAAGCTATGAGTTTCATTGCTTTAGGATCAAAACTCTATGCTTTTCGTGGTCCTGGTACAAGTCACTACTTTTGTGAACTTGGTAGTGGGATATTAGGAAGAACAGAGACCTCTACATGTTTCAGAAAGCAGGGGATCTCTGCTCAGCGAAGCCGTATCCCATCGTCTCCGCCTACTGCGCGTTGATGGAGTTGGAGGAAGAAGTGGTGTCGAGGGTGGAGCAGGTGCAGATGATTATTGCCCGGGAGCGGCTACAACAGGGGTGGGGGTGGAGCTAGGATAAAGAATTGAGAGCTGATTTTGCTGCGGGAAGGGATGTGGTGATGGAGGAGGAAGCACCCCTTTTAATTTTTAAATATAATAATTTTTTTATTTTTATTTATTTTACTTTCTTGTGAAAATGCGTTGGAAATGGTAAAAGATTAAAATTTATTTTATTTATGATTTTTTAATTGCCACGTCACTGAGTTAACGGTCAATTTTGAGGGTTGACTGCCACATCAGACAAATTTAACGGAGTTTGACGGAGAGTGATCATACTTGAACCATTTAACTAATTTGAGTGACCAAGATTGGATTTAAATATTTCCCATGAACAAATATGAACGTTTTTTGTAATCTCAGTGACCAACCATGCAATTAACTCGTGAAGAAAGATAATGAAATAGATGCTGATAATGACAATAGTAGAATGATATTGACAAAAAAAAGTAGTAGAGAAGAGATTAAATCAATAGTATATTATTATAACTGGAATATAAACCACCTTGTTGGCTCCATACGGACCTTGTTGGGCTTTTGTTTGCCTTGAAGTTTTCTGCTTCTATTTGACAGAAGATAAAGTAGAGAAAAAATGTTGTATTTCTCTTTCTATTTTCTCAGCACTTTCTCTCTCTGAACTTACTAAGAAGAAAAAGAGAGCTATGAAAGAAAGAGCTCTGAACTCTGAAAGAAAGAAAAGACGGTGTTTTCTCCAGTATTTCCCCTTCTGAAAGCTGTCCCCTTTTGTTGAAAATTTAGCCTCCTTTTATAGGAAAAAGAGGCGGTGGTTTCTGGTTCGGTTGGACAAGTTCTTGTTCGACCGGTCCGTTTGTTGGGTGGGGTCGTTGGGCTGGTTCGGATTGCTGGCCCATTTTGCCTGATCTGGTCCAAAGTGGTTTTAATACTTGGGATTGAAATGTGGGTTGTGATCTTCTGGACTTGTCTTGGATCTGGGCCTAAATAGACTATCTCCTTTCTTCTTGCAGGATTATGGCGGATGAAGTAAGAGTGCGCTTCAAATATCAAGTTTTAATTTGTAACACTACTTTTATAATGATGTTGTATAAGTACAATTTTATGCAGTAATTCATATTTGTAATTTGTTATTCTGATTGTAATTGTAATTTAGTAATAATTTTAATAATAAGTTCTTTATTATTATTATTATTATATTTGCGTTGTGCCAAAAGCCGAGATTGGATTTGATTTTACAACAACAGTATCTGATCAAACGAAAGTCTCCTATTTGATATACTAGAATCGAATTCAAAAAAATTGTACGAAATGGCCACTCTAATTATCTTACGACATTTCGAGATTAAGTTAGAATTTTTAGTTGAGTAATTGACCCGGACAAAATGGGGTGTCTACAATGGGCCCACCCACAATTTTCTTCATGGGCGTGGGGCACTCATGGGCTAGGTCACGAGCGTGAAGCAACCCATGAACTGCTCGGCAAGAATTAAAATTTTAAGAGTTTTAAGCTCAACAACTGAACTTAGGCTTGAAGAATTTCCCTACGATATCTATAGAGTTAAAGATACCTTGTTCATGATCCAAATGAACACCCAAACAAACTAAATTCCAATCAAATGGGAAAATTAAAAGAAAAATTAAAAGGAATGCAAACCGATGGTTGGGTTGTCTCCCAACAAGCGCTTCTTTACCGTCGATATAGGTGGAAGGTTAATATTAGGGAGATGCCCAACAAAATGATCTCTTTTATTCCCATATCCGAGGTATTCAAGGGAGGTTTCATACCATGCTTTGCTCGTGCTCAGCGATGGATGCACCAAAGAGATAGACCATGTTGGTTCTCCACCTTGCATTCATAACCTTCCTCTTATGTCTACTTGATTGAGCCTTATTTATGTGACGAGTTAAGGCAAAATCTTTGTATTTTCCTCCAAAGGAAAAATAAGATGCTATGGTCTCTTCACTCTCCAGAAGTGATGTAACGGATATGAATTGAGAAGTCGAAAAAAATCCGGCTCTACCAAGCGGTGAGGTGCCTGTTCATCCTCCTTGGGATCAAATGGCTCGCTGTTCATGTACCTTAATCGTTGGAGGCTCAAGTGGAGGTTTGTTTACTTATTATGAATCTCTTGTCTCCAGCTATTGGCAAGTTTCAATGATATCTACCTTTCCGCTTCGCACCAGATGGCCTCCTCCACTACTCTAGGGACAAGTTGCTCCTCTTCTTGTCTCAATGAGATTGCCTCAAAGTCTATGCTAGCATTGATCGGCTCTTGAGGATTTTGATTGAGAGATGGAGTGTCCCATGAGTATGTGGGGTATGAAAAATTTCCATGGTAATAATTATAGTCGTGTGAGTCATTATGTAACTCGTCTTCTAAGAAGGCTTAGTAATAGTCATAACCAGGTGAGTTATACCATTCCTCTTCTAAGTAATCCCGATAACGATCATAATGATATGAGTTATTTCATGAAACTTTTTGTGAGAACTAATCAATATTGCTATATGACTCCCAATCGATATAGGTTCAATCGGGATATTGTATTGCCCACCCTCTCTCTCCCTCTTGCCTCCGTCGTCGCCATCCTTCCTCCTCTCTCTTGATCTCCGGCAATGCATTGTGACCCTCTTCCTTTGATTTTCTTGCCTTTGGGTGAGTTTTAACACTTCTCAACCTTGGATTAGACTCTTAGGATGATGGGAATATGGCCAGGAGTTTCAATTTTGAGATTAGGAGGTTTAATTCAGGATTTGTGTAGATTTTGGGAGTCGGGGTTCTTCGCTTATGAGAATAAGAGGTGTTAATGGTCTACGCCTATGCTAAGTGTGAGAGAATTTTTATGAGGTTTGATTATTATGAGGTGGTAGGGCTACTTGTGCCTTTGTTGGATCACCCTTCTACTATAAATAAGTTTTGGAATCCACCTCACTTCAGCGTATCCATCACACATGTGCACTCTATTGACGGGGTCGAGGAGTGATACTCTCAGCCGTTCATGATCCTTACCTTTTTGTTTTCTTTTAAAAAAAATTGAAAACTAAAAAAAGGAAAATAATCAATCACATCTCTTACTAAGGCACGAGGGAGATTCTCATCCATGGATTCCTCTCTTCTCATGTGCACGCGTGCTTCACTTTTACCGGTAACTCATTCTTTTTCCCCTATGATATTATCTTTTATGTTTATTGAGGATATTGTCCAGTTGTAGTGTCACGGCAACACAAATCACAAATTTATGTTGGGTTATTTTATTGCTGCACATTCTAACACAGGGATTTTTCCAGAAATAGCACTGTTTAAAAAAAATCCAAAAATAGCACCCAACTCCGAAAAATTCCAAAAATAGCACCCTTTCCCAAAAACCGCCACCCATACCTGCGGTTTAGGCGAAAACCGCCACCTGGGGGCGCGTTTTTCGATGAAAACCGCACTGGTAGGTGGCGGTTTTACAAACCGCACCCCCACCATGCGATTTGATTGCAGACCGCACCCCCACCATGCGGTCCTTTTTTTTTTTTGAAAAATTCTAACCTAGGTGGAAACTTCAAACGAACATATCTTTGTGTTCGGGTATCCGATCGTCGCGATTTTTTTTTTATTATGCATAACTTTTTGAGATCTTGCAAGCCGAAGACTGCCGAAGGTGGTTAGGTCTCGCCTTCGTCCCAAAAAATGTCCTTTGCTACCCTGAAAGAGCTTATTTCCGATTTCGTTAAACTTCGGACAACCATAACTTTGTACTCCAAAATCCAAACGACATAATTTTTTTTTATTTCGCATAAATTTTTAAGGAATACAACTTTTATCATAGACATAGTTTCGAAATGTACGTGGATTGCTGAAAAGGGAAAGTAAGCTATTCCCAAATCCTGTATATCCAAAATAATTCCTGTTTTGAAAATTCATTCCTAGGAAAAATTGTAGTCCTTAAAAAGTTATGCGAAATGAAAAAAAATCATGACGTTCAGATTTTGGAGCACAAAGTTATGGTTGTTTAAAGTTACTGAGCTCTAAAATCTGAACTTCAAGAATTTTTTTTTTCATTTCGCATAACTTTTTAAGGACTACAATTTTTACTAGGAATGAATTTTCAAAACAGGAATTATTTTTGGATATACAGGATTTTGGGAATAGCTTACTTTCCCTTTTCAGCAATCCACGTACATTTCGAAACTATGTCTATGATAAAAATTGTATTTAGGGGTGGCGATTCGATTATCGGTTGCCGGTTAACCGGTCGGCTAACCAATAACCGAAAAAACGCACCCTCGGTCGGTGTTCGGTAGAAGGGAGATGACTTCCGGTTAACCGAGTAACCGAAAATGATTAACCGCGACTAACCGGCTAACCGAAAAATAACCGACTTACCCAAAACGACGTCGTTTTATGTCATGAATAATTACCCCCAACCCTAATTGTTCCTTTCATTTTCGTTCTCCTCCTCCAACTCTAAACAGCAGCCGCCTCCTCCCCCTTCGTTCACCCCCCCAAACAACGGACACCCTCCACAATCCGACGATCCCTGCCGACCCCCGCCGATCCTCAGCGACCCCTGCCAACCCCAGCCGATCCTCCGCGCGACCCCTTCCTCTGCGTCTTCCTTCGACCTCCATTCAAGCAGCAGACAACCACGCCGTCTCCTCCGACGCCTTCCTCCGTCCCAGACCACCTTAATCCGCGCCTTCTTTCACCTTCCTTTCGTCCAGACAGGCGAGTCCAGGCTACGGGACGGCGGGATTGGTTGGAGTGGCGGTGGGATTGGGTGGTGAGATGTAGAGATGACGAAGAGATGTGGAGCGGCGCCCCGATCCCTATCTCTTTTTTTTTTCCAGTTATGAATTAATTAAATTATTATTATAATATTAAATTATTCGCTTAGTCAATTAACCGAAATGTTAACCGTAACCGATCGGTTGATAACCACGGCTAACCGAAGCTTTTCTTTGAGCGGTTGTCGGTAGCCATATCCCCTGTCTCGGTTAACCGGCATTTCGGTTATCGGTTATAATCGAACTAACCGAAATGCCAGCCCTAGTTGTATTCCTTAAAAATTTATGCGAAATAAAAAAAAATTCATGTCGTTTGGATTTTGGAGTACAAAGTTATGGTTGTCCAAAGTTTGACGAAATCGAAAATAAGCTCGTTCGGGGTAGCAAACGACATTTTTTGGGACGAAGGAGAGACCAAACCACCTTCGGCAATCTTCGGCTTGCAAGATCTCAAAAAGTTATGCAGAATAAAAAACAATTCGCGACGATCGGATACCCGAACACATAGATATGTTCGTTTGAAGTTTCCACCTAGGTTAGGATTTAAAAAAAAAAATAGACCGCATGGTGCAGGTGCGGTCTGCAAACAAACCGCATGGTGGGGGTGCGGTTTGCAAAACCGCCCCCTACTAGTGCGGTTTTCATCGAAAAACGCGCCACTGGGTTTGTGGTTTTCGCCTAAACCGCTGGTACGGGTGGCGGTTTTTGGGAAAGGGTGCTATTTTTGAAATTTTTCGGAGTTGGGTGCTATTTTTGAATTTTTTTTTTAACAATGCTATTTCTGGAAAAATCCCTCTAACACACATAACAAACATCGCAAACATCATGGGGCCAAACAACAAATTAGTGTCATTCGAAATGAAACAATCAGAAGAGTGTCGCTCTTCCTTACAGCGACATAGCAATGTCTCACCTCAGTCGCATGATCTAAGGTTATGTGTCTTACATTGTGTTCGTCGGGCGCAATCCGCGTTCCCCTCGCATGCCCAACATGTACATGCCACACTTCTCTTGACCAATGATGGAGAATGTCACTAAGTAGGCTCGCAATATACTGTATATTGTCGTTGTTTTTGTTCGGGTCCTAGACTATGTAGTCGCCAATTTTGTATGTCGCTCTTTAACTAGCGACAATATAGTTCATTTGAGAGATTTACAAAACAACCTCTAGTTTGGAATTTTTTTCAAAACTTTTTTTTTTAAGAAAAATACATGATAATTCATCATAACTCAATATTTTTGGGAAAAAACCTAATAATTCATGAGAACTCATAGAATCTATGAATATAAAACCCTATTGTTTTCTACTTATAAAGAAAGACTCGTACAACTGAAGAAAAAATTCACTGTAGTAATTTCTCATTTTGAAATCCTCGACAAACAACCATCCTCGTACAATCTCTAACCGGTGAAATATATGTTTTTAGATTTTACAGCTCGTAAACCATATCTAATCTTCAATTGATCCAACTTTTTATCGGGTTGGACATTGATCCTAATGTCCAAATTATAGCATGATGAATATTCTCGTCCCACGTTAGCACTAGAAAAACTCCTTGATATTGATCCAACTTTGAGTTTCTTCAAGTATAATATCCTCACAGGAATCCCATCTGTCGGAGTCTGGGAAACAACCCTTACCCACCATTAATCCAGCAAAAGTAAAACCCACAGTCAAACAAACAAAGGTACAGAGAACTCTCTGAAAAATTGATAACAAAACAAACACACCAGAGTTTTTTTACAATCACAGGAGGCAAGATATATGAATAAAGACTGTCTTTTCCCTGTTGTATCAGAAATTCATGATTAAGAATTTCCACAGCCAAGAGGCAGGGATAAACAAACCTACCCAGCTAAGCTACAGATCCTGCTGCCACCGTCTTCTGAAACCTACCCGTCGTCGTCCTGCCAAGACCCCACCGGCGGCAGAAACAGCGCAGCTTTTGCTTCTGTGGAAAGCGACAGGACTGAAAGTAAAATCATCTTCCCCCAAACCGTCGCACTTCTCTTCCTCCTCTATCCTTCCAAGCCCGACGCTATAGCTTCTCGACACCTTCCCTGCTCCTCCACTATTAACGTTGACCACTCCCGAAGAAGCCTTCACAGCGGCCGCACCCTGCAATTCCCGAGAAACCATACTCCTGCTCCCGCCGACCAAATTATCCCTGACGGAAGTCGCCCTGATCAGCTCGCTGTAATCGGATCCCGAATTCGTCGACCCACTGCCGGCGCTGAAACTCCTGGGGAGCGCGGCGGTGCCCATGTGGGCCGGGCAGCCCATGTTTGAAACGGCGCCGCACCGCATCTGGTCGGACAATTGTGACATCCCGTTGACGTAAAAGTCCCTGGCCTTCACCAGCAACCTCGCCGGGAACTGCAGCACCTTCTTCACTCTGCACTGCTTCGCTCCCTTCCCCATTTCCCCTGAAGCAATCGAGCCTCTGGTCCGGAGTTGAGATTCTTGAAAAATCGAATTGAAGAGGAGCGCGCGGCAGATGACGAAAGTTAACTGTAAAGGGCGCAGCCAGAATTGTCGGATCCTGGAACAATGGTGGAGTATCCGATTTCCTTACAGCTAAGGACGACAGGGAAGCAACAGGAGAGAAAGCGGCCTTTGGTTTCTTCTTCTTCGGGGTAGGTTTTTGGGGCCTTTCTTGGAGTTGTTTTTTTAATGGAATTTTTTGGCGGATCAGCGATTTTCAGCTTTGGGGGGGCGAATGGATTGGATCAAGAGGGTTTCTTTGTTTATGTATAGTAGTTGTTAAGAGTAAACAAATGGGGAGAGTGCTGTATGTAATCAAAATGGGTATGCTGTGCAAGGCGCTTGCCATTTTTTATGTTGATTTAGGGGATAGTTTAATGTGCACTGCATTTCACGTGCTCCTCTAAGTGCCTTAGTTTATGTAGTAGAATCAGCAACGGGGTGCAGCACTGAAGCTTCTTATAAAGGGGGGTTTTCTTTTTAGGTTATAGGAAAGTTTGGACAAGAAGAATTTGTGGATTGATTTCCGTTTTCTTTTCTTGATCATCTATAAGTTTATCTCATCAATTGAGAGTTAGCAATGAAAGAGGTTTTGCTAAATCTATCTATAAAATATATAAAGGCTTTTCTAAAAACTACCTTCACCATTTCAAAATTCCAGCCCTCCTACGCATCCACGTCAGCACCCTTCCGACCAATCAGATTTTTCCTTAACTCCTTTTTTTTATTTTAAGTTTTTCTATACCCCAATTAGACTGTGCCACTTAACTCTCTCTCTCTCTCTCTCTTCTTTTTAAATCTCCCCTACTACTCTTAATTGATCCATATTTTTCGCTTCAACTCCAAATTTAAATATTATTGCGCGAAAAAATCAGATTTTATGTGATCTACACAAGGATATCCATTTTGATATATGTTTTTTTAAACATAGCCACAATCATATATATACAAGGCATGTTCCTATTCGATAGTTGCGAAACTATATCAATATCATTCGATTGTACCGCCATAAAGTATATATTAACATAGATCGCAGAACAAATTTCTTATTCTACTGAGTTACTAAATAATATCAATGTTTAATTTTGTAATATCATAATAATAATGCACAACAATTTCATGGGTGCTAAAATATTGTCGTGCAGTACAAACTAATTTACCTTAAAAAAAATCATTTAGCGGCCAACTGGTCGGACTCAAAGGTATACACGATTCGAAATGAGAGAGGACAATGACAGACTGAACAAAATAGACACCTTAGGAGGAAAAAATTACCAAAAGTACATATTTCAAACAAAATTTACCCGGCCAACGGACCGGGTACCAAACTAGTACATGTAAGAAGGAATAGGAGAAAAATAATAAAAGAAGGAAAATAAAATATATTTATTTTTTAATTACTCTTAATACGCCCCCGCAAGATGGAGGAGGTGTCAACGACTCCAATCTTGGATCAGAGAAGCAAAAACCGTGTGGCAGGGAGAGGCTTGGTGAGAGCAGCCGTGAGCTGCTGAGCAGTAGGGATGTAGGAGACCCGTACCCGACCATCTTGAACCAGCTGACGAACGAAATGATAATCCAAAGCTAGATGTTTCATACGGGAATGAAAAACTGGATTGGAGCTTAAATACGTCGCACCAAGGTTGTCAGAATGCAGTATGGGGATCGAAGCCAACGAGACCATGAGTTCCTTAAGAAGATTCTGGACTCATTCTAACTCGGCAGTAGCATGGGGAATGACACGATATTCTGCCTCAGTGCTAGAACGAGCAACAGTGCATTGCTTTTGAGAGCATCAGGAAATCAGAGTAGACCCAAAGTAGATAAGATAACCAGAGGTAGAGAGCGATGATCCAGATTGCCTGCCCAATAAGAATCAACAAAAGCAGTCAAAGCCAATGGAGAATCAGAGCTCCGAATGGAAAGACCATAGGTGATGGTGCCAGAAATATAACGAAGGAGACGCTTGACACATTGCCAATGATGAGTCGATGGAGCATGCATATATTGAGAGAGCTTGTTGATGGAGTAAGCAATGTCGGGACGAGTGTAGACAAGATAGTGGAGGGCACCAACATCCTGGAGGAATCGGGTGGCGTCGGTAGGAGGAGTGCCATCATCAAGAGTGAGAGTGGTGGAGGCACCCATAGGAGTATCAACAGGCTTGGCATCATTCATGAGAAAGCGGTGGAGAATGTCAACCATATACTTGTGTTGAGAGAGAATATAACCAGTGGTAGTGGGAATGACCTCGATGCCCAAGAAATAGTTAACACCCCTAAGAGCCTTGATAGAGAAACGACTGGAAAGAGCATGCTGAAAATGGGTAAGCATAGATGGATCGTGACCAGTAAGAAGTAAGTCATCAACGTAGTCCAAAAAATAGAGAAGTGATCGCCCCCGGGAATAGACAAACAGGGACGCATCGAAATTAGTCTTCTGAAATCCAAAATCCTGGAGAAACGAGCATAATATAGTATACCATGCTCTAGGTGCCTGACGAAGACTATAAATAGCATTCTTTAGGCGACAAACATGATGAGGACGAGTAAGATCAACAAATCCAGGAGGTTGAACCATATTGACCTCATCCTCCAATGGGCCTTGAAGAAAGGCGTTATTAACATCAAACTGGGCGATAGGCCAACCATGAGTGAGAGCTAGAGTGAAAACAGTACGAACAGTGACCGGTTTAACAACCGGACTAAAGGTGTTAGTGAAATCAATGCCAGGACGTTGATGAAAACCCTTGGCCACCAAGCGTGTCTTGAAACGCTCAATGGACCCATCAGAATGATGTTTAGCACGAAAAATCCACCGATTACCCAAAACATTGTAATGAGGAAGCCGCGGGACAAGGTCCCATGTTTCATTAGCCAATAAAGCTGAATGTTCAGCGTGTAAGGCCTCATCCCATTCTTTGTAATGCTGGGCGTCATGGACTGTAAGCGGTTCCAGAGGCGGGGGCCCAGAAGAAAGGTGAGTTAGAAAAAACCTTTTCTTTGGCCGAAAGATGCCACTTTGGGCCTGGGTCTGCATTGGATGGGAACGAAGGAGAGGAGGTGGGTGGGCCGGAGCAGCGGAGAGGCCTGAGGGCAGCGTAGCGGGAGTTGGCTGAGATGAGGATGACGCACCGTAGAAGGAGCCTAGAGAAGAAGGCCCAATGATGGATGGATCAGGCACAGGCACTGCTGAAGGGGGGGGGGGGTGATCGGCAACCTGGTGATCTGTAGGCATGGTGCGACTGGAGATAGTTGTGATGGTAGGTGATATGTCCAAAAGGCACGACTCGGATGAGGAGATATCAGCGGAAGATGTGGCACAATACCCTGGAAATGTAGTCTCAACAAAGATAACATGACGAGAGAGAAATCGACGCTGAGTGTTAGGATCAAAATAGCGATAGGCGTCACGTTGAGGACAATACCCAAGGAACAAACAAGGGCGAGAACGAGGATCAAGCTTTCGAGTGGAGTATGGACGAAGCCAAGGATAACAAAGACATCCAAAGACACGCACTTTATGATAATTGGGAGACAAATTAAAGATGAGGGTGTAGGGTATTTTACCACGTAAGGTCGAAGAAGGGAGACTGTTGATGAGATATATAGCAGTGGAAAAGGCAAATGACCATAAAGAGGTGGGAAGTTTAACATGATGAAGAAGTGTAATACCAGTTCCAACCAAATGTCGATGCTTGCGTTTAGCTAGGCCATTGTGTTCAGGAGTATATGGTGGAGTAAGAAGATGTGTAATTCCATTAGCAACAAGATCAAATCGTAATTTCTTAAATTCTCCGCCACCATCCGTATAAAGACGACGAATCGTGGTGGAAAAATAATTTTCAACCATCTTACGAAAAGAAAGAAAAATGTGAAGAACAACATATTTGTTGCGTAAAGGATTATACCATGTGTAACGAGTGAAGTGATCAATAATAATCAAGTAATAGCGATAGCCATCAATGGAAGAAACAGGAGTAGGGCCCCACACATCAGTATATAAAAGATCAAATGGTCTAACACTGGATAATGATGACACAGAAAATGGAAGTTTGTGACTTTTATTGGAGAGACATACATTGCAAGGTGAGCTAGAAACGGATGACGAGACTGGAAAAGAAGATGAACGGATAAGACTAGCAAGAGAATGATGCAAAGGATGACCAAGGCGGGCATGCTACGACGTTGCTGGTGTCCGAGTCGTCAAAATAGCCATTCGAACATTTTTCACTTCTCGAGGAAATTCATACACATCACCATTGTTTTCCCCCCTTCAGAAGCTGCGCCCACGTGCGAAGATCCATCACAATAAAATGAGTGGTAAAAATTTTCACCAACACAGGATAAGTTTGGCTTAACTTAGCGACTGAAATTAAATGTTTCTTGATAGTAGGAACACATAATATATCATTCAAGGATAATATGTGAGAACCAGCTGAGAGTGATGAAGATCCAATATGAGATATTGCCAAACCTGAACCATCACCCACTAGAATTTCATCTGGGCCTGTGTAGTCTGAATAAAGTGAAAGATGGCCCAAGTCTGAAGTCACATGACGACTTGCTCCTGAATCCATTTGTTATGGGCCTCATGAAGAAGAGCTACCTGTTGGGCCTGTTTGAGTGAAGTGAGCCTGGGCCTGGCGGGCCTGAGTATAAGCCCGACGGGTCTGAGGAAACAATTTGAAACATTGTTTCACTGAGTGTCCAGGTCTGTCACAATATTGACAAGTGACCGTGGGCTGACGAGAGCGTGCGGGATCAGATGGAAGAGGTGGGCCTCGAGTCTGCTAAGGGAAATTAGGGGACAAGCGCAGCTGCTGCTGTGGGCGAGAGGAGAAGCGAGAGGATCGTCCACCGCTAGGAAAATAGTCGCCATTTCCGCAGCTGTTGCTGCCTCGATGTTGAACCACCTGTGAATAAAAAACGGTGGGAACAGCAGCGAATCATGCTTGAGCCTTCAAGTCCGCCTTGAACTCAACCCATGAGTCAAGAAGATCTTCAATGGTGATGGCGGATCCACGAGAACGTATGGCGGCCGCAAACTGATTGTACTCTGTGTCAAGCCCCCGCAGAAAATGAAACACCAAATCCAGATCTTTCACTGGTTCATCAATGAAACACCAAATCTCTATCTCCTTTCCTGGTTGCAGCCAATTTTCCTTTCAGATTTATAATACGAGATTGGAAGCGACAGGCGTACAACTTCTCTAAAATCAGCCATGCTTCTCGAGAGGT